TCTATCTATCTATCTATCTATCTATCTATCTGTCTATCTATCTATCTATCTATCTAACTATGAAGCAGTTACAATGCAGAATGTAAAAAAATATGTTTTTTTCAGCAGAACACTTTTTTCTCTGTAAGATTACATAAATAAAATAAATATATATATATATATATGTTTTAAAAAATCCATGAAAATGACATATACAGTATATATTATTTTTTCTCCTGTGCTTACATGACCATCCACTCTGCTGACTGCAAAATGAAAAAATCAAAATCAAAAATCAAATCAAAGTGCCAAAAAAGTGGAATTAAAGGAGGCCGTGTTGGGTGGCCGCTGAAGCACATCTTAACGGCTCACGGCGCTTTTATTCCACCCACCTCAGTGAAGAGACCTGCCACTGTCAATCATTCTCTTGTAGTCAGCGCTGGCACAAACACAGCTCGACCCCTGATAAACAACGTGTCATAGCAGACTAATCCTGCGCCGTGCGTTAATGGCTGAGGACGTGAGGGGCTTGCAGGTCTGCGGTGGGCCTGTCTAGGAAGAAATAACTGGCTATCTGAAACCTGCTTTGGGAGGTCCAGCTGTTCAAGAAATTGTCTTTGCATGTCTGAATGTGTTTTTACACCAGCTCTATTTCACACTTTTTGTCTTGCCGTAATTGTTTTGTAAAAGTCGATATTGCTCATCTTATTTTTTTTTATCTCATTAAACAGAATCCTTTTTCCTGTAAAAGTAGGATTTCATCATCATTTACCCTCATGTTGTTCCAAACCAGTGTGCTGGAATTTTTTCTGTGAAACACAAAAGAAGAAATTTTGAATCTTTACCCAGTTCATACTGACCACGGCCAACAGGCTAAAAAAACAACAACAAATAAACACACACACACACACACACTCATATATACATAATCAGTATTGAATATATCATATAGAATATTGAATTGTATATAATTGGGTTAAAAATTACATCATAAAATTTTAAACGACTGTATGCATGTATGTATGTATGTATGTATGTATGTA